ACAAAGAACGTGCCAACTCTCTCTCGAAATGTTAATTTGTTTCGTTTTTCTCATTGTCTTTCATTTTTACTTCCAGCAATCTGCCTGGGAATGCGGTGAGACTTGCTGGGGTTTTGGGTCAGCTACTGACTGCCTTGAAGAAAGGCTGTTATAATGTTATTGGCTTTGAGTGGTTTTGGTTGCTGGCTCTGCTCCTGTCTGCGATGGTCTCATCTGGCATCTCTGGGAAGTTTGCAATCTAGACTAGCAGAGTAGCATTCTAATGAGAAATGATATTTGTGAGAAGGCTTTCACAAATCTGACCAATTTTAGTAATTTCTAGTGTGGTTTACATCAGACTCCTTGAAAAACCCCTGTGCATAGTTCATGAGCTCAAGGCTTTGCTTGCTCAAGTGTTCTGCAGAAATGCCCTTTGCAGTATCATTCCAGGGAATGAATCTAACGGGTGTTGCCTTCTTAAACCCTTGGAAGTGAGCATAAAACTCCTGTGGGTAGTCCCAGTGCACTCGTAAAGGTGTGCTTCTGTGTGTCGGGTGGCTGTCAAAAGAAACACCTTAAACCAGAAATAACGTGTTTTGATTAACTTCCACAACACACTTGTGTTCGACTTCAGCAGCCTCTGGTAGAAGACCATACAAAGTGGTTTCAAATCTGAAACAGGTGCTTACTTGGTAAATATGTCTGCTTCTGGTTTGAGACTACGGTGATTTCTCTCTTGTGAGTTGGGTAACAGCGATGCCTGCTCAGCTCAGGATGTGGTTTTGTGAAACCTTGGATCCGCTCTGACGGCTACCAGAAGGGGTGATTGTGTCGACCTTTTCCCCACCATTCGTTTACCCCACCTTCTTTGTGTCGAAGTGGATGACCACAGGGCTGAGCAGTGAGCCAGGTCAGACTGCAAGTGCCCTTATCCATCAGACCACACCATCTCCAGGTCGAGTTGTAGGGAGGTGTCAGGACTAGGAAGCCAGGAATGGTGTGTAGTTTGCCCTTTGCTGCAGGTTTTCAGATTAAGTTGTACCCAGGCTAATGGAGGTGGTCGTCCTGACAGAGTCCCCCTTCTTGGCTCCCAGTAGTTAAACTTTTCTGTGTAGGTGCATTAAATGTTGGGTTTGTGTGGGGGTGCTAGTGACTTAAAAAGAGAGAGATTTTGGTGCCTTGCAGGGGTTGACTGATTTGACCCGGGCAGGCTGTAGGCATAGCAAACACTTATGGTTGAAGTAGTCATGAGACAGCTCGTAAGGGTTTTTTCTGTTTGGTTTTGTCACAGAGCAGACAGAAGACGACAATTCTGGAGTCAACAATTTTTTTTAAAGCTTTTTTAAAATCCAAAGGTAGAGAATACTTCTTCCGTATGGAGAATTCCCTCAAGATACCTTAAAAATGTGAGTGTATTCATCTTTATCATCAAGCAGTCTTGGTTGTGAGTCAGGTGTGGGTAGCAGACGGTGTTTAGGCGCTGCCTGAAAGGCACAGTCCTGCTTTCTGCCTCTGCCTCCCACTGCTTCTCTCCTACACTGAGGAGTAAGAGACACTTACCTTCTTTCTGTCCTAAACCACATACGCTTTCTCTGGGTGCAGCAGCTGTGGGAGTCACAGTCTGCTGGGGAGAGGTCTGTTGCTGACCTTGCTGTGAGCAGACGGGGTGGCTTGGGCACGGCAGGCAGCCCTCGCTCCTCAGGGATGGCAGAGGTGCCCTCAGAAAAATACTTGCATTGTGATAGTATTTAAAAGCTGAACTTTTCATGGGCTTTGCTGTACTAATTGCTGTGCAAATATAGGTTAGAAGGGTGCTCTTCTGAATACTACTAATTCACTTTTTAATTTTTTTTTTTTTTCGCTGCCTTTGCTTGATACAGTACTTCTGTTAGCTCTGCCTGTCCTGGCCGTGGGGCTGAAGGCTGCCTTGCCAGTTGGCACTAATGCTCTGGTATGATCTGTGTCACTCCCTAGCATGGAGAACACGCACCAAGCACATGGAGACTCTTCCCGGAGCCCACTCCAACCCCGAGTAGAGATTTTATTCCTGAAATCTGGGCTTTTAGCAAAGCAGGCTAAAGCAGCCCTTGAGCAGGAGTTAAAATCCAAGGGCAGTCTGGCATCTGTTCCACTGGAGACTGAAGGAGGTGGTTGTTATGGTTCTTCTGAACATACAAGCTATGTTCTGTGAAGTGGAATTGCAGATTTTTTTAATTGTTGGCTTCTCCAGCTTGCACAGATGTGGGAGTTCAGCCACCGAGGGGATATTTATGATGTCTCCATTTCTTTTGCCTGGTCTAGCGTGCAAATGCTGGAGCTCTAGTGGGTCTCAGCTATCCAGAAAGGGTGGAAGTCTGCATCAGTGTTAACTCCGGTTGTCGGTGTTCTTCTGCCGGCTGATTGAACAGCTAAATTCTTTGAAATAAGTTTTATGCTTCAATTCCTGTGCTCGCTTTTTTAACTTTTTTTTTTTTCTTTCTTTCTTTTTTTTCTCCTTTAACCCATTTAAGCTGCTACTTAGAATCTGGCTTCTAATAGAGTTTCTCTGTTTTTTCTCCAGCTTTGATGGTTTGGAGTGTGTTAGGGGACTAGTACATACGCTTCTGAGGATAAGATGCTCCAGGTCTTCATGGAATTCGAAGGCTTGAGGAACTGTGGTGATGCACTACATCCTGTGAGGAAGTCTGCCTAGTTCTGTACTCGCTTCTGCACTACTTGGAAAGCAGTTGCGTGTGTTTTGTTCTCTGAACCCCTATCTTGAGCCTCCTTCCTTTCCAAGAGGCTTTCCCTGCACTGCTGACGGATGTGAAAGTCCATTTGTTGTTCCTCAACTCGGTCTTTTTTTTTTTTTTTTTTTTAATATTGTGGTAGGTATAACATGTGGAGGCTTTACTGGCCTCCACATGTGGGGCTCAGTTTACTCTTACTGTTGCTATTTTTGGTTTGACACAAGGAATGTCAGTGCCACATAGTATGAGATGATGAATTGCTGTGTACTGTACATATCCGTGAGGGTGGGATATCATCTGAGTAGTGGCATCTTGCCAAATACATTTCAATTCTGTTACTTCATACGCTTTTGAAAGGTCTGTTACGTAGCCTGAGACAGCTACCACTATGCTGGACTTTAGCAGAAGCTATTTGTGAACTGATATCATCATATTGCTTTGAGAACTATGCTGAAAGTTTAAGCTTCAGAATTCTGTCTGAATATTTCAGACCTTTCCCTGTACATTCTTTTAACCCATAACCTGGACAAGATCCTTATTTACACAAAAAAAATGTCCAGTGCTTGTGCTAGGCACAGCGAAAAGAGCACTGCAGTTTGTCATGCCATGCCAAAATAGTCAGTTTTGGTTTGAGACTGCTTTATCATCAGTTTTGTACAACAAATGGGAGAACACCTACAAAAATGAAATGTAAGAAAGTAAAAATCAAGCAAATAATGTAACACAACTTTATGTTCAAGGTTTTATGCAAGTACAGTATATTATTACAGCTGTCCCCAAGAAATGATGTTGTGCCAGTAGAGTATTTCATGGGGACAGCTGTAATAATATGATTTTGACTTTTCTTTTTTTAAGTGGTTCAGATTTTTGGTTGGTGAACCATACACAAGTGAAACGTTGAGAGAGGATTAAATGTTCTTGGTCGTTCCTGGCATTTAAATGCATTCATGCTTTTACCGTGCTTCTTGGTTTTGTTTGGAAATGAGACATGGTAAGTCATTGTAAGTCTTTTCCTGAGCCCCTGAAGACAGCAGTCGCTACTGCACGTCTCTCGCTATAGCTGCAGCAGCTGCATTGTTACTTCTCGTGTGTGTATGAGGTTGGTGTTGGTTCCACTGGTGGAGATGGCTGCAGAGTACGGTAGCAGTGCTGCGCTTCCCACTCGTGTTTCCAAAAAACTCCCAAAGAACCGAAGGACATGCAAGGCTTAATCTTTATGGTTCAGTTACTAACTATAGGCCTGTCTCTGAAATCCGAGTGACTTCTCCATCGCCCTTCTCCTTGGGGAAAGCTTTTTGCAGAGTTCAGTGCTGCAGCCCAGCTGCTGAGAAGCTGACAGGTGCTGCTGTGCTTGAGTGAATCCCAGGGACAAACATGTTGCTGTCAGCCTCTGTTCAATACGCCTTTTGTAACCTTGGAGCTCCTCTATCTTTCCTGTTGAAAAAGGGAAGATTTTATTTTCCACGATAATCTGGTGTGTCTAGTAAGTACAATCAAGCGCTGAAGTGTGAAGAACACAAACTCTGTGTCCATCTGCTTGACCACTGTTTATGCTGTACGTTGGGAGATGATGCGTGAGGAAGCAGAGGCTGTGTGGCACGACGTGTGCATAAGCTGTAAGGTTTTCCATTACCCAGTTGTTTTTTATTTCAGGTTTTTCTCAGTTTTGAACTACTTGCTTTTGTTGCAGCCTGGACAGTGGTCTTCATGGTGTTACGTGTGAGCGGGCCTCTGCAAGCTTGCAAATCTCTTGAGACAGCTGTCACAGAAAGCAAAAATCAAACCGGCGCACGCAGGGGCAATGAAGTAGTAGTCTGTCCAGGTGCCTGTGACCTGAGCAGTGAAGTAAGAGGCAGCAGTTGGTTGTCATCCTCCTCCTGGCTGATCAGGAGCGTGAGGGGAGCATCGCTGGTCAGTGGGCTTAGCGGTTAACTGCTGACAGTAGTGGGATACTGGGAGTCTCGACTGCTGGATTCTGGTCAGAAAAGGAAATTGGAAAGGGAGCTTGTTCTCTTCAACCCAGGCTCCTTTTCCAACTTGATATCTTCTCATTTCTCAAACACGTTCCTCTTGCCCTTCCCCTACTTAGTTCTTTATCTTATTCCTCTTGCCC